ATTATCTGCTTTTCATCACATCATTCAGTGCAGTTGGAGGCGTATAAGGGGGAAACTCTTATCTTCACCATACAGAGGCAAAGCAACAGATTATTAGTCACCTTATGCTGCCTGTACCCAAAAGGGATGCATTGGATTTCATTCACTTGGCCCGAAAAAAACAGCACCAAAAAAAAAACAAAAAAAAAAACAACCCAACCTCTGTGGACTTTGTTGTTCCTGAACAGAAAGGAACAGAACAGTTTCCTTCTCTTTGTACAAATGTATTGCTGAGCTGTTGAATTATTCAACTGTATAATTCAAGATGAGATTTAAAAAAAATAAAAAAACATCTTTCTTCAAATCTACTTCAGATGATTAATTTGACAGAAAAAAAAAGATTTGTGTGAGGGAGTGTTGAGTTTTTTCCCCATCTGAATAAAGGGTCTAAGGACAGAGGATGTTATATGTTGTGCATTGTTGTCCTTCATTCAGAAATATAATACTAACTTTGACCTGTCTGTATCAGGGAATGCCACGGTTACTTGTGAAGTGGACATGGCAGATAGAAAATACTCAGACAAATCCCTCCATACAAAAGCACATCTCTCTCAGCTTTTCTTGTCTAACTTGAAAATATGTCAGATTTTTGTTCTGGAAGTTTCAGCAATGTTTACCATGAGCTTCCGGTGCTTAAAGGATTGACTATAATCCAAAAAAGGTGTTCAAAAGACAAACAGAAATGCACTATTTTACTCTAAACCACCTTCTCCGTGTCTGCTTCCCTCAGGTCTCCTCCAGCAGGAGGCAGAGAAATATGCTGGTTTCATACACTCCATCGATTTTGCCCTCGAACAAAGACAGACGGAGAGGGATGGAGGCAGGGGAGCGGAGGAGACGAGGAGTGAGAGAAATGAGAGATAGATGAAGAGCACTTGCCACAATGGTAAATTTTCTTGTTTTATCCAAACACACAGCTACATGGATTCTGTTTGGCAATTATTGGCAAATGGAAAAGGAGATACAAAGATGTGAATTTAATATCGGGATAATTTAAAGGTTCTGTGTGTGTTTACTTCAAAGGGGAAAACACTCATCACCACGGCTTTGAGCTCCAAATGGAGAAAAAGCGCTGTTTACTCTACAAATGAGTGTGAGACAGAGCAACAGAGCGAGAGACAGAAACAGAGAGCAACAGGGAAGAAGAAGGAGACAGAGAGAGAGAGAGAGAGAGAGAGAGAGAGTTGGGCTGGTGTTAAGGTGATTAGTCTGGTGGGTTGGCGATAGAGAGAGTTGATCAATAACCTATCGATCTCCCATTGCGAGTGTCAGGGGGGTAGTGGGAAAGAGAGGGAGGGTGAGGGAAAGGATAGGGAGGGAGTCGGTCCTGGCTTGACTTTTAAAAATCCTTTACTCTGCAGATGACAAATAACCCATTAGATTGCAGGAGAGCTGGAAAATCTGGAAGTCCTTCCTGCTACACACACACACACACACGCACGCACACATGCACATATACACCTGTGCATTTCCTGAATGCTGCAAATATTTCTCAATTTCAAATAAGCATGGTACACACAATTTTTCAGCCATGGCGGCATGAAAAAGAAAAATCATTTCTGTAAGTAGTGTGGAGGAACTATTGAGCTCAATGCAGTGAAGTTACTTAGCAGACCATTACTTCAAAGAATTCCTCTAGGCTGAAATATTCACTGAAGCAAGCCGCACTCGATACTCACCCTAAAGCCTTTTCAAATGTTCTGCAATAAGTCTATTAGAAATAGGTGACAAATTTGAAAGCAAGCAAAAGCGGAAAAGAAAGAAAGCTGACCTCGATCTTCACTGGAGTTTTCTCTAAATTTTATTGCTGCAAAAAGGCAAACGTGTTGCATCCAACAATGTGTGTGTCATTAGGGAATATTCTATGTTTGGAGCATTAAATAGCAAAATTATATAAGATATAGTTGAATTAATAAGATGATGACAAACAGTCCCTCAGGCCTCCTTACAGCCAAGAACAGCGGTAATTAGAGTCTGAAAAATTTATACTGAGAGAAAATGATTTTAAAAAGCAACTATCAGGGCTGCGCTGATGAAATCACTTGACACAGAAGGATCACACCGTGTGTATATGTTTCTGTGTCACCAGAAACAAGGTCATGACGTTACAAGGTTTGCCGCTCCCCGGTGTAATCTGGACTGCGCACGATGGGGTCAGAGTTGAGGGGTGAGAGGTGAAGGGTCGCTCAGTCCTTGAAAATACCACAGAGCCCAAAGGACGGATGTCAGGGTAATAGAAGAGAAGATGGTTATTGAACAAGCCATCACTTTTACTGTCAGCTCACATATACCGGAAGTCTTTTAGTCTTTTTCTCTACAGCAGGTGGGGTTAACGCCTGCGGAGAAGGAGTCAGGAGTCAATGTAGGTGCAGGCGCATGATGTGTCTGAATCGAAATAAAACCACGGCACTTTTCCTGTCATGAATCACAGCTGTGCTCCACTCTCTCCTCGCAGAGGTTTGGAGGTTTGATGGCAGCGAGTGATGGATGCTCCTCGCATTGGGGCTCAGCTCTCAAACAGCCATTATCATTACGGATTCCTGCTGACTTCAGGACTCATTTGGACAAATGGAGGGGGCTTTTGATATTTAAGGGAAGTCATGTATAAGAATGGTTAATGGGCAAAACACAGCCTCTTTGTCCAGTCCTCTCTTTCTCACCCACGCTCAGCTCTCCCATCCTTCATCCCGCTTCCATTTCCTCATTTTCCTCTCGTTTCTCCTCCTCCGCCTGCCTCTCTCCTTCTTATGTCCTTGTCTCCCATGTGCCACTACTCCCCCTCCATGCCCCCCTCCATACCTGCTAAGAGGGCCCTGCCCCCACACAGTGTCTCCCGCTGCCATGCAGTCTCTCAAATTAATGTAGAGATATTGACAAGTGATGGGCCTGGGAGGCATAGATCATCAGGAGGGAGAGGAGAAGAGAGGAGGGCTGGGGTGAGGCCAGGCTGGACTGCTCTTCGTGGATGTAGGGGTTTCCCCCATCGTTACCCAGCAGCTTGCTTGACCATCTAAGTGCCATGGACATAATCTTAAAAGTCTCTCATCTGTTGATTTACTTCCTCTTCACTGTTATGATTCAGCAGCATTAGGAGTGGAGGCAAGATGGAGAAAATGTGTGAGGTTTTCAGGTTTGCCTTTAAAATAATTACCAGGCACATAAATATCAGAAACGGCAGCTTCCACGCTACACTTTCTCCTATGTAAACTAGATAAGGTGCTGCTAACAATGTGCAAAAGGGCCAGTTGGTCAATACGCCAATTATATAGATGAGGGTATGGAAAGGGCAAATGATAGCCAATCAGTGAAGTGCTCTCACTGTCTTCTAGCAAGAGCTGACCCCCTGACCCCATTTGATGACCCTCAGGCCAAAGGTCACTCTCCGTGGTTCAGAGGGCATTTCCATGCACTGGCCGCAGAGGTGTTGCTATGGTTACAGCACTGGCCAAAGATGTGGCGTTCAGGAGGTGAGGGGTCACTGTGGATGTACAGAGCTGCGATGTGATGTGCCTTGTTTAAGATGCATTCCAGAAATTAAATTTTTAACGTGATCAAAGGTCACATTAGGTCTTTTCATGTCACACCGTTTAATCTGGTGTGTCAGTGAAAGATACTTTGAGTGGCGGAATGTAACAGTTTCAGATGTACCTAAGTAGAGATTTTAGGTATTTTGAGTATTTCCATTTTATGTTTTTTACACTAGCCCACTACACTTCGGAGGCAGGTGTTGTCCTTTTTACTCCATTACATTTATCTGGCAGTTGTTCTCAACCTTTTAGGCTTTGGCGTCTGCTTGGGGCCCCTTCGTTACGCTTCTGATCTCTTTCAGTTCCACCAAAGAGACATTTCCTCTCTAAACTTCTTTCATGGTTTTATATAAGTAACTGTTTGAGGCTCAAAGAGATAGAATTATTATTTCACCCCCAAAAAGCAAAGATTAGAGAAATGTCAAAAAATAAATGAATCTGTGTGTTAGAACTTCCTCTTCCATTAACCATCATTATTTTAATATTGTGGTATTGATATCTTCTTTAGTCAAGCAAAGTTATAGAATATTTATTCTACCATCGCTATAATCACTACATTTAAATATAAGATACACTATGTTGCACCATCTTGTGGTGGTTGGATACACAACTACTGTAATCTCAAACACAATTACTGGCTTTTCCTTTGCTTTCGACCTCATCTCATCGTCTTTGTCATTGGATGGAGTTTGACATTTTATTTTATGGGCGTGTTATAACAAAAACGAAAAACCAGACAGAAATAAGCCCTACACAGACACACACACACACACACACACACACACACACACACACACACACACACACACACAGGGTATTTATTTGCATAATACACAAGCCTCAAGTAAAAAAAACTAAAAAAAAAACTGTGGCCTTTGTAACAATAACCCAGTAATCATTTACATAAAGGGAAACGAGAGATATTCAACCTTTGTCACTGAACACACTGTATATTGCTGCAGTTAAACTGAACTCAGCTTCCTTTTATTGTAAATAAGAAGATATTCTGTAGCCTGCATGGGGGGCAGCAGGCCTGCATTAAAAGTAGCTGCTATTTTACACAGGTATCATTTTCTCCTCTGGGAAAACCATTTCATTGTGTAGGCTTATCTGAACAACCTACTGACATAATATTTTCAAACAGCTTGTGATCAGATGTCCTTGGTTTTGCAGACTGTGTAAACCGTCTGGGGTAAGATTCAGCACAACTCACTGTAACTGATAGAGGAACAGTTCACCTGTCAGTTTGCAACTTTGTTTTATAGGAAGGTGGTAAAGGTATATAGATAACTCTTATGCAGTGACATTTCTGAAACCAGTTTTGTGAGTTCGCGCTCCCGCAGAGCGGAGTCTTAACTTGCAGGAGACCGTCCGCAGCCTTCCTGGTGTGGATTTAGTTGCGCGTCACTATAGGCGTATTGCGGTTAATCAAAAATGGGTGGAAAAATCAAAGACTTCGATGAAATTACGTCTTTTCTGGGCGACTACGGCCCTTTTCAAATCCTAATAATCGTTCTGTTCAGTTTAAGTGCAATTCCATGTGGCTACATGGGAGTACTCGCGGTTTTTGTTTCGGATACACCTGAGCACCACTGCAAAGTATCGACCGGCTCCACGCGCAACGGCACAGATGTGGAGCTTCCCTTCCGCGAGCGGAGCAGCTGGATTGGACCTGACAGCTGTTCACGATACAAAGTGAATGGAAACTGGTCGGAGACAGTGTTACTCAGTAATGAGACAGAGCAATGTCTGGATGGCTGGGTCTACAGCACTGAGAGATACACCGCGACCATTGTGTCTGAGGTATCCACATTTCCAGAATGATAAATTATGAATCTTTTTTTATTTTTATATTTATGAATGTTTAATAACTTTTAACCTTTGTTTATTATGTCCTATCAGCTCTGATCAGAGAAGCAATATGAAGTTGACTTGTGTTGTACTATTTCTTTAATTTTGTCAACAACATGTACAGATCTCTGCTTTGTCTTCCTGACAGCTCATGGTCATGGCTGAAACTAGATTATATTACTTTAGATCATATTTTATTCTATCGTCAGATTTCTCAGACATTTGTCTTGCAGTAATCTGAACTACTGTCCGCTCTCCTGTGAACTGCAGTGGGATCTGGTGTGTGACAATGCATGGAAGGTCCCCTTCTCCACTTCCTCATTCTTTGTGGGAGTCCTGATTGGATCCTTTATCAGTGGTCACCTCTCAGACAGGTAAATCCTGTTGTGTGGGATTATTATTAATGTTATTATTATTATTATCATAAGTTAATTTGCATGGAAAAAAATCCTTAAATTATAAATTCATGATATAAACATAAAGTAAAATTCTAAAAATATATTACAAAATAAATATAAAATCCAAGCACCATACATTTTATCTTAGCTGCTCTTTCATGATGAACCTCTAGGTGAATCAAACTGCTTCAAGGTGAGCTCATCTATCAGGTCCTCAACAGACAGACACAATCAGGATTTGATGCTCATAATACCATGAAGTCCAGGGAGCAGTTTGATATATGATGTGTTTCAGGAAGAAGGTGTGAAAAATACATTTCTGTTACATCCTTCCATCATCCATAAATAAAAACACACATCTAGTCATTTACCCATAAAAATGATTCAAATTTATTTTCCTCTTTTACTGTTAAGAGTCAGAAAATGAATGGTTGAAATGTTCCATTAGATTATTCTTATTATTATCATTCTATAAAAGTTGGATTATCAAAGATTAGTTAATACTAAAACTGTTTCATTTAAGTAAGAGTGAAAATAACCACCTGTTGACTAAATGGAAGAATCTTCTTTATTTCACCAACATGTCTCAGCTCAGGGCATTTAATAGTCAAGTCACTTTTTTATTCATATAGCGCCAAATGACAGCAGAAGTTATCTCAAGGCACTTTTCATGTATAGCTGGTCAAGACCTTTGATTACAGAGACCCAACAATTCCCACCACGAGAAAGCACTTGGCGACAGTGGCAAAGAAAAAATTTTCTTTTAAGAGGCAGAAACCTCGAGCAGAAGCAGAGACGGATTGTGTGGCCGTCTGCCTCGACCGGTTGGGTTGAGAGAGACGGACAGAGAGAGAGAGAGAGAGAGAGAGAGAGAGCAGGGGGAAGGACATAACAGTGACAGTAACAGCAACAATAATGATGATGGTGATGATAATACTAATACTGCTACTACCAACAATAATAATAATAATCGTCATCATCATCATAATAATTGTGGTAGAAGAAGGTGTTGGGCGGGATCATGGGGGCTGTAGGCATTTTGCAGTCACACATCCAGACTCTACAGCTCTGGAGGCAGAAATACCTGCAGAGAGCAACAGGAGGTGAGAGAGAGAGAGAGAGAGAGATGATGCAGTGTTTCTCAGAAAGTTTACAGTAATCTCGTCAGCAGGACACCATGGACTATAAATATAAATAGTGATTTGCCATTTAAACAAAAGACTATAAAAGCAGAGAAAGCCAAGGTTACACTTTCATATCCAACAAAACACCGCAGTCAGGGAGTGGGTTTCTGAGAATCAGACAGAATAGACTGGACGGCTCCTTTATGATTTAGGACTAATACCACCACCTTACCGACACTTACACCAGGTAGTCATCCTGCTCACTCACAAAAGTCAGTGATAAGTTTAATGTTGATGTTGCGCATCCATGTTATTTTCATATTTTTGTGCTTTGTCTTACAGGTTTGGCAGAAAACCGGTGTTTTTTTTTACCATGGTCTTGCAAACAGTTGCAACCTTGATCCAGGCCACCTCCGTCAGTTGGGTCATGTTCAGTATCCTTAACTGTTTGAGAGGACTAGGCCAGATATCCAATTACATCGTGTCACTCGTGCTGGGTGAGAAAAAATCCACTGCACCACTCTGCTGCCCTGGCTACAAACAGTTTTTAGTATTTTCCGTGTTTAGTGAAAACACCAGTATATACCAGTAGGACTGAGGAGAAATCAAGAACTCAACCTTTTCGTTGTCTCTCATTAACACCATGTTCTTGATCCTCCTCTTGGTCAGGGTCTGAGATGCTGAGCCAGTCTGCCAGGGTGAGCTACACTTTTCTGGGCCACAGTCTAGGTTTTGGCATCGGTTATGCCTTGTTGCCGCTCTTTGCCTACTTCATACGAGGCTGGAGGATGTTGCTGGTTGCCACTGCCATCCCCGGCTTCCTATTTATTCCGACATGGTGGTAAGTCTGATGAATGTTATTATATTATATAAACAACTACAAAGAGACACAAAATGACCACAAAGACATGCAAAACAACCGCAAAGAGGCACAAAATGAGCACAGAGAGACACTGAATAACTACAAAGAGACAAAAAATTAGCACAAAGACACATGACAAGCACAAAGAGACACAAAGCGACTGTAAAGTCACATGGTTTGTAGCCATTTTGTGCAGTCTGTGCCCAGGGGCCTGTTGTCTGTCCATGTTTGTCCCATGTCATGCTAGGGTCTTTTTATGCATGCACCCTCCTCTAAATTCACATTTTATGAGTTTTAACTGCGCTGTGTATCATGATGTATAACTGAATGTTCCTGATGCCGAGGATTGTATCAAGTTTGTACTTTTATTTGATCATCATAAGACATTGTATTAATCAATTCTGTCGATTTTAATTCAATTTGCGAATTAACCAAACTCAAAATCATAGCAAAAAACGAGACAACTCTGCCTATATTACGGACTTATGTATAAGTTTAAGCTGTTACATGCAGATTTCGTTTTTGTAGATATTACACAACATACAAATAAAACTTTAATATAGTGTTGTGCTCTCAATTCCATTTATGGATTATTAAGTTGCTTGACATCTTGTAGAACCAAGAATTGCTCTAATTAATGGCCCACCACTACTTTTCAGAAGATCATGAAAGTAGAAAACCAAAGTTCAGTCAAAATCAGTTCAAAAGAGATACGACTGCTGTCAGTACAGTCAAATGAATTCTACACAGGTCAGTATTTGGGTGAGATTTGTTCACTTAATTTTAGAAATGCAAGTCAAAACAAAAAGACTGTGACTGATAGAGCTTGCTGGTGGGTTATTGCAAGCGCCTTTGCATCTATGCTGGACTGGGCTGCTCTACAAGTTCTCAGAGCTGATGAGTGTCCATCTTTATGCAGTCACATGCTGTTACAGAACTAAAGTTGTCTGTCTGTCTCATCCCATTCCTGCATCTTCCTCTGGCTTGAGTTTTATGGCTCAGCTCCAAACCACATACTGATCTCGGTCATTAACACTGTGTGCTTCCTGTAAATTTACAATGTTTACATGTTCTGACTTCTGACTGTCATGCATTAGTAAATGTAAATACATCCCCTTGGAGCATTACATTTTTTAATGGTTGCATAAGATCAGCCTTTACTGGTGTGCAATGCCTGTGTTGTAAAATGCACTTTTTTTTCATTTCTTCATTGAACTTGTGTTCGTCTCTCTGTTCAGGCTGATTCCTGAGTCTCCACGTTGGCTTTTGCAGAAAGGTCGGGTGGAGGAGGCTGAGCTTGTCATACGCAATGCTGCGAAAAGGAACAGAGTACCCGTCCCTGAGGTCATATTCAGGGCTGGAGAGTGCTTGGAGCTCATGGTATATATTTTATTATAATTTTATATTTTATTATAATATTCACTCTTCATGTGGAAGCTATTTTGCTACAATATAAGATATGCCCCAAATATGACTGTTGTGTTTCTTTTTATGTATGTCTGATTCAGCAAAATAAAGGTGAAGAAGAGCAGACATACACTTACATGGACCTGATACGCACCCCTAACATGAGGAACATTACAATGCTAGGTGTTTTCATATGGTAATGTGCACTCTTCTTTACTCTGTTTTTAACCTAAATATGGTTGCATATACAGTTTATATTATACAAAATAATTCCCTATTGTTTCTTGGTGAACATAATAGTAGAAAAACATTTTGGAGGCCTTTTAAATATATTGTAAACATGGCCGATCAGGATGTTTGCAGTGACTAATCACATAAAGCATGGTTTTTATAACTTGACACTATATTAATTTGACATTATTTCACATAACTGAAAAGTTTGTATTAAAAACATTTTTAAATATGTGTTTGTTAAGTTATCTGATCAAAACATTGGCTTGTTTTATACTGCTGTGGTTACGATATGACCAGTTTTTTCAGATGTTAAAAGAAATTTCAATTTCAGTGTTCAATCATATTTAAACCATAGCTTCTTTGAAGCACTTGAATAAATGGTCTTATTATGAGGAAACTGGATTTGTGCTACCTTCGAGATCAATATATTATTTAAACACGCTGCATTCCATCTTTATTCAGTGTTGATTTTGTATTTCTGCAGGATGTCTGTCGCCATGGTCTTCTATGGTCTCTCTCTCAATACTAGCAACCTGAATGGAAATGTCTACCTCAACTGCTTCATTTCTGCGGCCATTGACATTGTGGTGTACGTAGCCTCTTGGCTGCTGGTCAACCGGGTCCCAAGACCCACTCTCCTCTTCTCCACACTCATGTTCTGTGGCATCATGCTTCTGATCATCAGGCTGCTTCCTGAGGGTCTGTACTGTAGACACAGAGTACAACATTTACTAAACTGGGAATCTATGAAAGGATTAGAAGACATTATGCACTTTTAAAGTTGTATATGCCTTCTATTCTTCATGTTTGTTTGTTTGTTTTTTTCAGAAATGCATGTCATGCTGCAGGTCTTAGCCTTGGTGGGAAGGATGGGTGTGTCTAGTGCTTACTGCCTCATCTACGTGTTCTTCACCGAGCTGATCCCCACTGTGGTCAGGAACATGGGATTAGGGATCACCTCCACAGCTGCACGAATAGGCACCATCATTTGTCCCTATGTGATTTACATAGGCAAGTGTTTTTTTGGTTCTTTCTGTTTGTACAGTTGTATTTTTTGTGTGCAGTGGTTAAACCAAACTTTGAGAGAGTGAATGGAAAGGCATCAAAAACTATAGGAATACACTGGAGTGAATATACTTAACTTCAAACAGATACTCTAGCTATTTAGTATGACACTGTCAGTGGAGGGATTGCATTTATTTTCTCAATCAGTAAACTAGTAACAGATTTTTTTACACTCAGATACAGAGCTCTCCTACCATATAGAAAGAAATTCAAGAGTTGCTCGATCAGCATCTTTTTTTTTTTTCTTGCTGCACACAGTCTGTCATCATTGTGCTTTACATGTCATTTTGCTTTTTGAATAGAACGCACTAACTAGTATTTTAATAGCACTGATGGCACCAGAGCACTCTGTTATCTGCATCATTCACTAAAGAATCAGATTCATAGGCCTCTTTCACAAATCACAGATATTTTGACTCGTCACCACAGGAAAAAGCCCAAATCGAGCTAATATCGGCTGATTGTATATGGAAAGCTCAAGTAAACTCATTTGCCTTTTTTTTCTGTTTGCAGGTGTTTACAGCAAGATGCTCCCATACATTGTTTTTGGCACAATCAGCATCATAGCTGCTGTTGTTAGCATGTTGCTTCCAGACACCAGAAACAGCAAACTTCCCAACCTTATCAGCCAGGCCAAACCTATCAGAGGGTATGTCACCATCTCACCATCGTGTATGTGGATGTGTGAATTATGATTAACAGAAATAAAGATCATTACTACTCTTCCAAGCATTAGAGAGCAATTCTAACTGATACAATGAAATCTTATGACATAAAGGGGATTTGGCATGTTGTAACTGTTGTTGCATCAAGAGCAGGCCTGCAGCTGCATTTGCAGTGTTAGAGATGTTGGTGATACTGTGCACTTTAACAGTTCTCCTCTATGTTTCTTTTGCCTCCGTTTCTATCGTAAAGCTCCTGCTGCTGTCCAACGGAAAGGGCTACAATCAAGGCAGATACAACTGAAGGCTGTAAAGAAATGAGCTAGAGCTCCCCCTGCTGAAAGAAAATACACAGCAAGAGTTGAGTGATCACAGACAAAAGCCTTTACAACTAATACAGTGTTTCTGTGGGTTTTGATGTGTGGGTGAGACATTAATGTTGTTCGGGCTTTTCAAACAGTACAGAATAAGCTATATCATTTATGTTGTTTTTTGTTGCCTTTACATGGCTGGTTTTATACATAAAGAGGTGGCTGGGTTACATTTCTTCCAACTACTTCAGTCTTTTGATCAAAAATCAGACTTGTTATTAGACTTACTGTTGTTTTGTATGTATCTGGTCCTGTTGATTTGTTCTTTGTTGGCAGGATTTTTGAAGAAATCTTTTTTAATTTGCATTTTTTTCAATAATTTCACTATTTTTTTTTTTTTTTTGTCATGCTTTTGTTGCTTTTTTCGTGCACTGTTGCACTTACTTGAATGAAAGTAAAGTAATGCCACACATGACAAGCGCAGAACAAGAAAAGTTCAATTTGACATTTCTGCCCGTTGAATATGCACATAACAACTATATGGTAATGATGGCTTAGATTGACATTTAAAGTTGGTTAAATAATGGGAAGTTTCAGGATTGTAGACTCATATTTTTTGCTGTAAGATATGGTCTTGTAATTTGAAATTTAAAAATGTTATTTTAATGACTTTTTTACTCAATACAGTCACCAGTGTATGAAAGATGGTGGTCATTCTTATTCTTATTCCAATAGATGAGCTGTGTGTCAAAATCTAGTTGACACTAGTATAGACATATCATGAACAATGTGCTGTGTGCGCTGTAACTAATGGGAGCCTAACTGATGAATCCAACCATGCCTGGGTCTATGAACATGTACTCTTAGTTGCCAGTTTCTTAGGTACACCTAGCTAAAACTAACACAGTCTATTACAGGTCCTGCCATAAATCCTACCTCTGTGAAGGTTATAATAAGAGTGGTTCCAATTTAAGTGTATGGTCATTTTGGAGGCTGAAGTTTTTATTGCTGTTACATTGTATTGTGTCACACTGACTGGTGTTTCTATTACTTTGTCCACTAAATACCAGAAACACCTCTATAATGCAATACAGTTCAAAAGCACCACAAACTACAGCCTCCAACATGACCATAAAGTTGGATCAACACTTCTCTAAAACTGTTGCAACAAAAACTGAACATTATTACGGGATTGCTGCAATTAGTTTAAGATAGATGTAGCCTAGGCTTACCTAATAAACTGGCAATTGAGTGTAAAAGCATCCTTTTGTTTATGCTTATATAAAAAAAAATTCATAATTGTAAAAATAAACGCTTAGAAACCAAACAATCCATGTCCAATATGTGGGAACTGCTGTTGGCAGTAGTGTCATTACATAATCCCGTCAGCTGACTGTCAACATTTGAAATATCGCGAGATTGTTCACACAGTTACACTGAGCAGTGTGCGATACTCTTGGGCCCCGGTACTGACTGCGCCGTGCCCCCACCTCTGTTGCTTTTACTGGGACCCGGTGTCTGTCTGCAGCAACCACAAACACCTGCCAGCTGAAAGAAGGGGCAAGGATAAACTGACCGAGACTACAGCCCCAATGAGCTGGTGTTTCTAATTTAAACAGCCGGGTGGGGAAACAGCGCCGGAAGTAAAGTAAAAGAGTCGCTTACTGTCAGCTAGCGTTAAATGTGGTGGTATCACGCAACAGCTAGCACATAAAGTTAGCTAGCTGCTAGTGATGGCTCTGGTTCTGAAAATATTCTGTTTGCCGTTGCGTTGTAGCTAGTTCAGTGTAGATAAATATAAAATTCAATTATTTCACGTTAGGTCAGTAACCATAATACTAGTCATCGTGCTTACGTATCCTCATCTAACGTAAAATAATTAATCTAGCAACCGTTATTTTAACGTTAGCCAACTAGCTAACGGCAGCATTATTAGTATCCTATCCTTTTTTTTTAAATAATTTGGAGCTTTCCTCATTGTGTTGTGAATCAGAAAAGGGTAGTTTTAGCAGAGTCTGAGACCAAGCCTGTGTAAAGTGTTGAGCCTAAATCTCAAGATATGTCATATCTAACTAACAGTCCGACCTGACAACTGACAGGAAACGCAAAGTTCCCTCTGTCCAGGAAGCATCCTCAAGATAACACCGTCTTTCGATTTAACCTCTAAGCCCAGTGCATATGAAATTAAACTTGATGCTGGTCACTAATAACATTACTTTAGCTGCAGTCAGAAACTTCTACTTGGAGAGGGTAGTCTTAGTAAATTATCATTTGTAGTGCGTAGAGAAAAGTGTCACTTAACCCCAGCCCATAGTTTATCCACAATTTAACATGCCTCCTAAAAAGAGACCAGTTCCCTTAAACATTACTCCCACTGGCGATGGATTATCCACCTCCATCAACACAGATGTTTCATCTGAGTAAGTTATCCTACTAACCAAATTGTTAACCTTGTATACTGAATAAGGATGTGCACAAACTGAAAGATGGATTATTCCCATCCTGTATCTTTTTTCTCAGGGCTAATTTAGAGGCACTTAAGAAAATATTGGAAGAGTTGGACCTGGATGAACAACAGAAGAAAAGATTAGAAGCTTTCCTTACCCAGAAGGCCAAGGTTGGCGAGTTGAAAGATGATGACTTCCATCGAATCTGTGAGCTGGGTGCAGGCAATGGAGGTGTAGTCAACAAGGAGTGCCACAAACCATCAGGAATAATCATGGCCAGAAAGGTGAGCCACAAAGAAGACAGCTTAATGACATGAATGCAATAAAACAAATGATGTTGTGCAGAAAAGTAATTCTGAATGCATTTTCTGTCTCAATTCTCTTTTCTGTTCAGCTCATTCATCTAGAAATTAAACCTGCTATCAGAAACCAGATCATCCGAGAGCTTCAGGTGTTGCATGAGTGTAACTCTCCCTACATTGTAGGCTTCTATGGAGCCTTTTACAGCGATGGAGAGATCAGCATCTGTATGGAACACATGGTGAGAGAATTGGAGAGGGGTGACTGTGTGTGTGGGTAGCTGTAAAAGATATTAAGAGTAATGTATTGCCATATTTGTCCATTCATCCCTACACGGGAATTATCTTATTTTGCCCCATTGTTCTTGTACTCTTATACATCGATGACACAAAACATTATGACCACTAACAGAAGATGAAATAGTGGTAGAGAAATAGTGTAGTGTAAAGACCCGAGTGACTTTGACAAGGGCCAAATCGTTATGGCCAGATGACTGGGTCAGAGCATCCCCGTGGCAGCACGGTTTGTAGGGTGGTCCTTGTTACCGTTGGTGAGTTTCTATCGACAGTGGTCCGAGGAGGGACAGACCATGAACCAGGATAACAAAGGCTATCTCATCTGGTCCTAACCAACAGAAGGGTTACTGTAGCACAAGTCACGGAAAATTTTATTGATGATTATGGGAGGAATATGTCACAACAAGATACAATGAATCACACCCTGCTGCGTATGGGGCTGTGTAGCTGCAGACTGGTCACAGTGCCAATGCTGGTCATAATGTTTTTTGCTTATCAGCGTATACCCGTACTGAAGACCAGGTACGAAAACTGTCTAACTTAACTTAAAGCACATGAGGTCCTGCTGTCCTCTTTTTTTTCCCATTTCAAGGAATGGGAGCATTGATCCTCCGTGTCCTTTCTGTAGATATGTGTTGGTATCATGTTTGTACATTCCATAGATTGAGAACCACTGTACCTTTTCTATAGCTGTGTCACAATGGGAAAGAATGTGTGCCTTTGAAATTTTGTGCTTTTAGCAGTTTATTTCATGACCCATTGTATTCTTTGTTGTCTACCTTTGTTGTCCAGGATGGTGGATCTTTGGACCAGGTGCTAAAGGAAGCAAGAAGGATTCCTGAAGAGATTCTGGGCAAAGTCAGCATTGCTGTAAGTATAAGCTATATTGTTATATTATGTGATATTACTTTATTAGCATTAATGAAACAGTGTTTAGTAAAAGTTGTTTTGTTTAGATAAAGATTTTCATCAAGGCTTTAAAAAGTCAAGATGTTTTCATTCACATATCACTCTTTCACTTTACCATATTGAGCTCAATATAAACCATGGACTTAATATGCAGACACACGCCATGGGTCTGGATGGGTTTCATGCTTGTTTCTGAATGTTTCTTTCACATTAAGGTTATTTACAGTTATTGACTTGAGTAATTTCTCTCCTTTAAAAAAAAAAACAGGTTTTGAGAGGCCTTGCCTACCTAAGAGAAAAACACCAAATCATGCATAGAGGTATCTGAATTTTCATCAAGTTGATTATTGATTTTGTATTTCATAAAATGGAGATTCATCTGTAAAGCACAGTGCACAATAGCAATGTGCCTGAAATTTTGTTAAAGCATGTTGATACATGTTTAAAGATAATTAAAATATAAATAATTAATTTAACTTTATGTCAATAATTGTTATATGTAGTTGCACATTGTTATAAATGTCCAGTTAGGTGACGTTTTCATAACATATCCTTTTTATTAACAGATGTTAAGCCTTCAAACATACTGGTGAATTCACGTGGTGAGATCAAGTTGTGTGACTTTGGTGTGAGCGGGCAGCTCATAGACTCTATGGCCAATTCCTTTGTTGGGACAAGATCTTACATGTCGGTATGTTGCTCTCTCTGAATTATGCTATGAAAAGATGAACTCAGTTCAGTTGCTCAATATTGCTTTGTCTAACTTGTTTGTGGCTCCTTTTCAAATCAAATGTTTCAATCCTTTATCATATTGTCTAGACCACTAAGCTCTATTAAACGATCAATAACCTAACTTCAACCAGTGCCTCAATCTTAAAATATATATTATATTTTTTAATGTTAGTTTTTTATGAATGGCCCAATTCACAGACAGTTCAAAACAAATGTAACACCAGAACAAAATATTAGTCATTTCATATCTGACATTTAATGCTTAAACAGTTCCTTGTATTTATTAATATAATATAAATGTTTGACCTTGTTATGTGTTAATTATGTTCGTTGTTTAGCCTGAGAGACTGCAGGGAACCCACTATTCTGTGCAGTCAGATGTATGGAGTATGGGCTTGTCCCTTGTGGAGTTGTCAATTGGACGCTTCCCCATCCCTCCTCCAGATGCTAAAGAACTGGAGGCCATATTTGGAAGACCCATATTGGATGGTAGTGAGGGGGAGACACACAGCACTTCACCCAGACCTAGGCCACCGGGTAGACCCGTTAGCGGTGAGCAACACAAACACACTCTGAAAAATAGAAAATCTGTGTGTTTTTTTACATAAATCTTGTTTGAAATGTTGAATATGAAACCACCTTTTCCAGGTCATGGTGCAGTAATGGCTATCTTTGAACTCCTAGACTACATAGTAAATGAGGTGAGAATTTAAGAACAGCTAAAAATTACCCATCTGATTCCATGTAGTATTAGCTGTCATCCTTGCTAAATCAGGAAGGTGTCACACTCTACTGTTGGTGACATCTTTTCTTTTGTATTTCAGCCTCCTCCAAAACTACCGCATGGTATATTCACTTCTGATTTCCAGGACTTTGTGACAAAGTGGTGAGACAACGTTTTAGCCTGACAACATTGCTCAGCTGTCCTTTGTAACATACACTTAACACACAACACATCTTATTTTTTGAGTTTTATTTAACTAGTAATCATAAACAT